ATTTATCGCTTTTATTTCGTTTTTTATTGTCAACCACCCGAACCTTGGCACATATGAAATGAGTTGTGAGAGCTACTATGAAATGGAGGAGACCCAAAGAGTGTGGGTGAGGGAGGGTTATGTAACAGCATTAATCTCTAATCTCTCTTTGCCCCTATCTTTCAGAGGGAACAAAAAAAACGAGCTGTGAAGGACGAAACGTGTTTAACAGAGGACACAAGAAGTGAGAAAAGATGACAATCGGCAAGAACTCCAGAAAAAGCTCTGTGCGGAGCTCCGTCCGGGCCCCAAAGTTCCTGGACAAATCCAGCGGCTTCTATGGTCGCCTTGATGAGCCTGAGGTTGCTGGAGAAGGGGAAGAGGTGAGGGAGAAGGAAGTGGAGGAGAGGTGGAACAGGACGGAGGACAGTAACAGAGAGGGGGGAGTTGCGAGCAACCCGAGCCCAAGCGTGGTGCACGTGTCTGGGGGAGATGAGAAGGAAGAGGCCGAGGCGTTTGACTTCAATGAAGGGATGATGGAAGATGATGGGGAGACTCTCCTCCGGAGGAAACCCAGCCGCCGCAGCAGCAGGTGGAGAAGGAGCTCCAGGAGGAAGCAGAAGGAGGGGAGAGCCGAGGAGGACGCAGCCCGAGATGAGAGGCCCAGCCTGGGCACAGAGAGTCCAGCTGACCTGCGCGTCCTGGAGGGCACCAGGGTGACGATCGAGGTAGAGATGGAGACAGCGAAGAAGGTGGAGGAAGAGAACGAGAAGACAGGAGGAGGGAAGGAGCCCGCGCTCGTTCACTTCGCTGCTCGGGAGGATGAGGACGACCAGGTCCTGATCAGAGACAAGAAGAGGGGGAGAGAAGAGGAGGGAGAGGATGAGAGGAGGATGAAGAGGGAGCAAGAGGAGGGGATGAAGGTCGTGAAGAGGAACACGGTCAAGAATTACCGCAAGGTGAGAAAGAATAGGCAGAGAAATACAAAGTGAGAGCATTTCTATCAAAGACAACCGTTATTAACTTCTGCTTCCTGACTCACATTTACACATATTCCATATTCGGCCCACCTGGTTAAACTTTAAGCTCCTCAAGGTTACGTAACCAGAGTTTGTGGAACAGAGGGGTAAAGTTCTCCCTCAACATCCTCCACACACTGCACATTGGGCTATTAATCACCATGGAAACTATCACCTTAATAATAGACTGCCACCAGGGTCAAGGTACAGCAGCCATTGGTGCATGTCACCAACCTGTTACCCCCCGAAAGGGTTTTTCCTTTACGTCACGTTTGACGTTTTCACTAACAGACTTGTAGCTGTAAAGCGTACAGCGTGTACCTTCGCCTGATTCACATGTTCTTAAAGATTTTCTGCTTCCACTGAGACACATGCACAGAGGTGACATTCCTGTGCCTCCCATATCATGTCCTTTGATCAGTGGAACGAAGTATGGCAGTGTTGACCCGCCCACTAAGCCCACACCATAAAAACATTCCACCGCTGTTAGCCAATCAGCCTCCACCCTCAGGCCTCCGAGCCTGACCTCCTGTTAGATAGAGGACGATCTCAGCTTCATGTATAATACAATACAGCGCTTGTATGTTGTGTTGAAAAAAACAGCTCTTTGTTGCTGCTCAGTCTCGATAGGTGATGGCTGAATATTCTTTAATGGCGTAAAATCTCCAGTTACTATGGCAACGGGCTCGGAGCAGTGGTTCCAAACCAAGTCAAATCTAAGGGATCTCAGCAGGATAAGTTGTCAAGAAAGCAGAGAATAGGGGCACCCTGGTAGCTGACCTGGTAGAGCCGGACCCCCACATACCAAGACCATGGGTCCAACCTAACCCAAGACAAAACAGCTTTAATTCCCCCTTTTTTTTAAAAAATAAAATACCAATAAAAACTGAACTCAAGCTCAAGAGAAACTGAGCAGACTTTCCAGAAAATGGTCAACATATTTAAGCAGGCCATTCCCTGGAAATAATTGTGTCATTTTACACCACCTACAGAGGCGCTGAGTTTGCATATTTCCAATGAACTGCTTGTGCAAACTGCAGAGCCTTTCAGTCGGTACACAGCAGGTCAGCTGAATATGCAAAATATGAGCGATTCAACATATACGGAGAATAAAGTTTCAGATGAAAAATAAATAGTTTAACTTGATAAGTTCCGAGTTTCAAGGACACTGTGAAAATATCTCGCCTATAACTATAATCATACTCTTTGATAGTCTTAAATCTGTAACTAGCTTCCATGTGACTTTCTGATCAACCTCATTTCAGATCATGTAATATGTATCGCTAACCTTTGCCTTCTCATCCCCATCAGGCCTTGGACCGTGCCTTTCGTCGCGGCTGGGAGGCCTTCATCACCAACCTCTACAGCGTCACACTCACACCTGTGACATCATCCCCGCCGCCATCTTCGTCACCGTCATCGAAGAAGAAGCAGCAACACAACTCTGTGCTGGCTGAGTTTCAGTAGAACTGGAGAGCGGCATGCATCTAATATTCATATAGGCTAGATCTCTATTTCCCCTTAGTACTGAACATTCACCATGACATTAGTGTGGAGTCGTGCATCTCACATTAATTATTTATGTTAGTTACCGAGTCTTAAGTAGTCACCATAAAGTTTACTGCCTCGTCTCATCATGGTGCACATTAAATTACACACAGACTGCACCTATTCAGTTGTACTTTATGAGTAGAGGGAGCCGAGCTGTTGATTGTACATTGACGTCTGTGAGACTGGCTGAAAAAGGAAAAGTCCAGCCTTCGTGTGACTGAGTTCAGCTGCTCCTGGTTTTCCTCTACTATGTTGCTAACGTCTTTTCAGTCAGTGGTGTAAGAGCGCCTTAACATCTTAGCTCCTTATATCCGGTCCACTATTAAGGGCTCAGAGCTCAAATAATCTTCCGTTGGTTTAGCACTATGAAACTACTGAAGTGGATGTGTGACCGGCAGGAATGGAAATATTAAACCGTAGAGCCATGACTCATTAGTGGACTTTAGTTCTGGAGATATTCACATTTCTTGTATGTTAATCAGTGCCATTTATTGCCGTCTGGCAGCTAATCAGTGATTGTGGTCCACTTTAACACACGTTCGTATTTGTGGAGGAATTGCAGGGTTTTTTAACCAAAGTTGACCCATTTAAGCTGTGGTTTTCTCATCTGTGTGTGCAGCTCGTCAGTGTTTGACTTCCTCATGAGATAACGACCATCTCTCACTGTGTGTTCTGGTGAAGGTTATTTAATCTGGAGGGACACGACATGAGAGAGGGTGTATGTATGTGTGTGTGTGTGCATTTGAGAGAGAGAGAGAGTGAGTGGCCTGAGACATCAGTCACTGGCACTGTAAAGGTCAAAATAATATTTAAGAACTAACTATAACTTCAGTATCAACATGCAACAAGAAGACATGATATGAGATATTATTCAATGTATTAATGATTGACCCTTGTTTAAATGAATAATGCAATGTTTACAATAGGCCCACTTTAACTTCCTGTTATCTGCTATGTATTTAGCTTTTATATTACCTCAGTGTACTCAGTAATTATTGCAGACTAGACATAATATGTTGTAGTTGTGTATAATGATTGTCTATAAAAAGTGTTCAGTTTTATGGAAATCCTTTTGTATCCTAATCAAAGCTTCATGAACCGTAACAAGAAGCACTTTAAATAAAGACTTAATTTATTGTACTGGTTGTATTTTCATTTCATGATTAGTACAGTTTCAGAATAAATACACAAATAATCTGTCTGGATTTAGCATCAGAGTTGTTGTTATGTGAATGAATCAAGTCAAGACTCATTTTATTTAGATAGCCTGAAATCACAATTTACCTCACAGGGCTTTAACACTATAAAAACTCCACAAATACCCTTTTACCAGGGAGAAAATGAAAGGAATCTCAAGAAGAGCCACAGAGGATGGAGGACAGACAGACATGCAATAGATGTCAAGTGTAAAGAAGAACAAAATCACGTTATATACAGAGTATTTATACACACACACACACACACACACACACACACACACACACACACACACACACAACTGTGACACAATTTCTGATACATGGAGTTTATAAAATGTGTGAATATGTGAAGAATGTGGATACAGGAGGATGCTGAAAGAACTTTCAGATGTCGCTGAGTGAGACGTACGCCCTCCTCTTCACAGTATGGAAGTAAAACACAACATCACAACATCATGTGAGAACGCCATAGCAACTGTTACCATGACCTTACAACTTTGTTTCTACTGGTCCAGTCCTGAAGGATCAAGCTTCAGTTTCAACACTTAAAGTGAAAATGACAGGTTTACTGTGAGACCAGCGTGTTTCATCCTTACACTACAAGTGTTGCTGGAGTTTGAATCCTTTAAGACTGATCAAGGTGGCTGTCGTTGTTCCAGGAGTGCCGACTCTGTGTTTACACAAAGACCAACAAAACATAAAGATAAAATAAAAAAAACATGTGCATAGCTGTTTGCAATAAAAGATCTGAGACTGATTTCAAGTAATTTGCATACGACAAAGAATAAATCTACATATAATAGGTAGAAATACAACGATTAAAGGTGTGTGTTTGTATGTGTGTGTGTGTTCATCTTATAAAATATATAAAAGAAAACATGTGTCTCATATTACTGATAATATAATTAAAACAACTGACTAGTTTCCAGAGTATTATGGTCAATAAACCTGATGTAGGTTTACTTACAGTCAGGTACTCTGACTTTGTGTCTTTGCCGCCATCTTGTGGACGAGAAACATACTACACCTTAAAAACGGAAATGACGTGGTAAAAGAAACCGCGTACACTTTCTGTAAATTCATCTTTAGCTGAAAGTATAAAGTCACTCGACAAACGATGAGTTTAACCCGAATAAAACTGTTTTATTTATCAAATTAAATCCGTACAAAGGTAAATGTGGCTCATGTAAATGTTGGCGCGGTTTCCTCGGTGAAGGTTTCCCGGTGGGAGGAGTTCTTCAGGCGGGACATAAAAGAGAGACGGACCGGTTTCTCCTTCCACTTCCTCCTGTCCTCCGTTCACGGTAAGATCGATCCCGCTGCTTCTTCTTCTTCTTTCATTTGTTAACGTTTTCATTTCACTAGATACCATTAGAAATAAGTTACTATGGATACACAACAAGTCTATTGGTGTTTATCCTCTTCCACCTGTTTACAAGCTCAGGAGCAGTTTCCATAGCAACCTGTTTACTGCAGCCCCGAGCTCAACAGGCCACAATCCTTAACCATCCGGCAGCCAGACTCTTTATTTTTACTTTAATCACTTTATAAATATAAACTACAACATGTTTACTAAATGCTGCGTGTGGTATTTGTCTGTAAAACATTAGATGGACTTCAGGAAACACGTTTTTGCCGCTGTCCGCCGCTGTCGTGGTGTGTCTGCAGGCAGCGTCTCTCGATGATGATAACTTCACAGACCTGTACTGAATTACTGTGATTGCATTAATTATTCTGACGTGAGACGCTCTTACAAAGGTTGTCACCTGCTCGTGCCGCCCTGAACACGTGGTCGCGAGTTTAGCCTTGCAGGGGGAATTAGCCTGTTAGCTTCATCATGCTAATGCAATAAATCCTGTTTCCCAGATGGCGGCGGAAGATCCACGAGCTCCCCGCTGCAGAGGTAACTTACTGACACCACGTGGCTCATCCACATTGAATCCATGCTTCAATATGATCTGTAAATGAAGTGCAGTAGTGACACAACGTGGAGCCTCATGCTACAGTGATGTCTCATTTGAACTCTCTCACTGAATCTATCTTGAGGAAACTTCATCTATCAAATGCTGAGTGGCATGAAGCTCTCACACACGTGCACTTCTCATTTTAACCTTATGACCATGACCTTTTTTTCTTTTTCTCCCCTTCTATCCCTCAGGTGTGGGAAGAGCATGGCGATCTCCACACACAAGGTAATTGATCTATAGTAGTTGATCAGTATAGTTTTGTTTATAAGCCGGTGATTGGCTCTATGGCTGTTCAGAGCTCAGTGCTGCGGTGATGATTCTGAACTCTCTCTTACTGAATCAGCCTTTGAAGATACTACTTTACCAGATTCTGAGTAGCACATGGGGCTCCAGCTAACTTGTCAGAAAGTGGTTAATCACAACTCTGCTGCTGTATAATGAAAGATGTAATTTAAAATGACTGTAGCAGTATTTGCTGAGAATCTGTAAATCTAAACTCATTTATTTCTCCTCAGATGTTCAAGGCTCTTCAAAGATGAAGAACACAGATGATGGCCTCTGGCAGGTGAGCTAGACTGATAATAGGACTTTATATGTTCCTCATGGGCCATAACTGATGAATTTTCAAACAAGACAAGCATATGCCTGATTTTTGTGATGCTAGATTATTAATCTGAGCAGCCCTTAAGCAATTAAAACTCAGATTCCTTCCTCGGTTTATAGCTAATTGCATTGTTTGTTTCATAGGCGTCTTCACTGTCGCTAAACTCCAAAGCAGCCCGACTTCCCTCTGAGGTGAGTAAAATATGCATTTATCCCAAGAGTGTATCCACAAGTGGGGTATAAACATGATGATTACAATTAATGACAAGCATATGCCTGATTACAGTGATGTCAACCTTTAATCTGATCACCCTGAGTCAAACTAATGCAAAGTGTTTGATTTCTGAGCGTGTATTAATGTCCTGTTTCTTTTGGTAGGTGGGAGTTTGGATAGTTTGAAGGATGCCACATGGAACTACAAATGTGAGTTTTTACAAAAGCTGCATTATGATCACATTATCAGAAATACTATTTCCTAAATTTGAAATGCATCTACAGTGTAAAAGAGGTCAATCAAAGCACCACAGTCAACTGTTTAGTGTGGATGACTTCAGCAGTAACAATATTTAATCCAGTTCAGTGTTACATTAAGTCAAAGGCAAGGTTTTTCTGACCGTTTGAAAGGATGAAATGGGGTAACACCCATCAAACACCTGGACGACTAATGTCACATGGCAGTTTGTCACCAAAGCCCTGATCAAACCTCCAAATCTATATATGCTACAAGGGTTATTGTTGAATTGTACTAAAGTCCCAGTTTCTCTTGCAGAACCTCTGAATGGATACTTGTAGAGGAAGGAACCATTCAAGTCTGCTGGTGAGTGTTACATTAAAATGCATCCAAATGGTGAATGTCCTCATGGTGCAGTTCCAATGATGATTAACTTAGCTCACTTTGAACCGATGTGAAACGACACGAACTCTGAGCAACTGCATTTATTAAAGCTTTTAATGCTGCAGCGCAATAATTTGCTCTGTAGCTAATCGATTAAAGTCTTGACAGGAACATGAGTCTGTGTTTAATGTGCAGTAAATGACCTGTCTTCTGTCAACAGGTGACTCCCGGCTTCAGCAGCATGCTCGGGGTCTTTCTGAAGGTAAGATGTCACCACAGTAACAATAGGCCTTAATCCAGACCTGCTGAAAATGATGAGATAACTTGGAATCTCGTTCGTCTGAACTGCTGTTGAGAAATATAATATCTGATATCAGTGAAGGTCAATGTAGGACGGGTTAGGACTTGAGCGATTTTGTGTGCCAAGACCTCATGGTGTTATCTGTTTCAGGTACCTTCCTCTGGACACCTGGGAGACACTTGACTCTTCTCGCCACCAGAGGTGATTTCCCAGGTGAGTGTCCTCTTTGCGAGGACTTAGTTAGAGGTGTCTGTTTAAGGCTTAAGCACAGTTAAGTTCAGGGTTACAACAACCAATGTCACATTCAGTTTCCTTCGTGATGACACCCGCACACGTCTTACGCCTCGTGTTAATGCCAGAACCTGAAAAGGTGAACCCACTGGTGTTACCTTGGCAATAAGGGGAAGACACGTTGGGGTTACCAACAGTCTGAATGGAAACTGACATCACATGATTGTCTAATTGTTGCACTCATTCAGATTTGAGCCCCTGAGATTACTGAAGTAAAACTATCTTTAGAGCCTGTACAAACATAGATACTAGACACTTGCTGTAGTTTTTAAACTGGGCTGTGACTGGATGCTAATCACATTCCTGAACAATATCAATTTGTTTCTTTTAGTTTGACATCGAGGCTGAGCTGGGATGAGGTCATCTGTGTTGCCTGTGCTTGTTTATGGAGGTGGGTCTCTGCTCTGTGCAGTTGCTGTTACTAGTATTGTGCATATGTGATGAGTTCCTTATTACCGCCCCAGTCTGAGAATTCATGACTGATTGGTATCCCCTCTGATTACACAATAATTCAAAATGTCAGTCACACAAATTAAGCTGGGTTGAGTAACCTTTTCACCTGTTACAGGTTTGACACCATCTGACTCTTGACAGCACTGACACCTGGGACTACAGTGTAAATGTAAGTATAATGTATCTGGGATTGTGCACACTTCAGTATAGGTTATTAAAATTGCATGTACATGTTTAAATTGAATAGCTTTGCATTATAATGAGAAACTGCCTGCATGTCTAAGTTTGAACCCTTTTTGGCCTTGCTGTCTTTAGATTTATGCCAATTACATTGATAAATTGCTCTTAACAAGCTTGCCCTGTTAATAAATACCCCTTTTTTTTTTTTTTTCTTTAAGGTCTGCCATCATGGGATGTCACATTGTCTTGCAAAGCTCCTGCCTGTGTTGGTGAGTACTGGAACAATATTGAGGTTTCAGAATATGGAATTGGAGTTCAGATAAATGTCTGAACTCTTAAAGCAGAAGTGATGAGTTCCTTATTACCGCCCCAGTCTGAGAATTCATGACTGATTGGTATCCCCTCTGATCACACAAGATTTAGCACTGTCTTTGCCACAAATCAAACTCGGTTAACTAACTCTTCTCGCTTGTTGCAGGTTCAGTGACGCTATCTTAAGCTGACTCCTGAGACTGCTGCAGGTAACTAAACTTAGTTTAAAGTGACATTTGGAAAGGTGGAAATGATGATGAACCCCATATCAGTCAAGGGTTTTTGCTATTTTGACCCTTCTCAGTTAGTCTCCCTCTTGTTGACCCAGTATGGCACCGAGGACCCTGACATCCTACAGGTGTAAGGTGACCTGCTGGAGTTCTGATAGAGGAAAAACTAACTGTAGCCATGACTGAACCCTCGTCTCTGATCACATACCGGGAAAAATCCAACACTTGTACTAAGCCCCCTCGGCAATTCAATCTGCACTCATGTTACCCTAATTGAGCACCCTTGACGACTTGTGGTTTTGTTTGTTCCCAGGTCTGGCAGCTCAGTCATCACATGGTCTTGATCTTGTGCTCAGTTTCAACATGGTGAGTACTGGATCAATGTTGACTGAATTTCAGTAGATGTCTACTTTAGGCAGAAGTGATGAGTTCCTTATTACCGCCCCAGTCTGAGAATTCATGACTGATTGGTATCCCCTCTGATTACAAGACTGAGAGCTTTAGTTTCTTCATTGTATTTGTTACACATTTTGACATGTCTTGTATTTCTATTAAAGTCCAACTGGATCTGCTTGCAAAGCTGCCTGCTGCTTTGACTGCTTGGTAAGATTTTATAACTTTTAAGCTTATTTTGAAGTGATGAGTTCCTTATTACCGCCCCAGTCTGAAGATTCATGACTGATTGGTATCCCCTCTGATCAAAACTACAGTCACATTTCTAGTTTAAACAATGACGTTTCTGCCACCTGTTTCTAAGATGTTGTTTCTCTGCAGACTGTCAACTGAACATCCATCGGCCATCTTATGCTGCAGTTGTCTAAAGATCAAGTGGTGATTCAAAATGTCAACATACTCATGGGTACCACTTGATTTGCAAAGAACCAAAAACTAGACGCTGCATCAGCCAGCGAACTGAGCAACAGGACTGCTGTGAATTCTTGAATTAACATTTTGTAATGGCATTTATTTCAAATAAAGTGTAGCTTCAAGTACAGCTTGCATGTCTCATATTTCATACAATGTCTGCCTCAGAGTTTGGAAACCTTTAACCTTGTCTTAAAATTTAGAATATACTTTTGATTTGTATTAATGGCTTAATTCAAAGGGAAACTACTTTATGCATCCAGTGATATATGAAACACTCTTACAATGGTAAGATGTGGGTATGAAGTCATTTTGTGCTTTCAATGACAAGACTTAAAATGTGAAAAGCTTTCAAGAGTGGGATGTGTACAAACCCAGTTCATTGTTCCTGTTAGGTTGTATATGCTGTAAATGATGTGCCCATTACAGCTTCTACTTGATTTCAGTTTAATTCTCAGACATTTTCCATGGTGATTTCTCACCTAAAGCCCAAATTATAACATAGGGAAACTGAATTCTTCAGTTGTAAGTGTTGGGACACTTCAAAGGTGTGTAAATGATCACCACAATTGATCTGAACTGATTGCATTAAAGATTGAAATCAAAGCAACGATACAAATGTGGTCCAGTGCAAATCTACATTGTTGTACTATAGGTAACCTGTTGGCTAGGTGATGAGATTGAGTCACAACTAACATTGATGTTTTCTAACTACACTCATAAATAGACTAGGATGAAAGCAGTCTGGCCTTTGGATTAATGTAACTAATGTCTTTCCTGAAGTTGAGTTGGAGACATAATACACTTCAGTAGTTAAACAATGTAGGCAATTACATTTATTAAAGAACACATTTGATTGAGAGGCACAAATCAACTGTATCTGAAAGTAAAGGTGGGAGTCAGCAAAGTTCATGTCAGTCTTTACATTGTAAACAAACTTCATTTAGGTTTCGTTGTATGAATTTTATTGATTACTTGAACAAAAGCCAGGTGTGAATCCTGTAATGGATACAGTCTGCATGTTGCAGCGGCTGAAGGAACAAAGACAACGGGGCTCCTTTTTTTTAATCTACGTAGTCCAATGAGCCTGGAATCATGTAGGAGTTTAGGCATGAGAGGCTGCGGTTAAAAAAAAAAAAAAAAACTCAGTCAGTGGTGAAAATTCTTGCAGCAATATCATCTAACAGCCAGTCCACCCCAGCTAACAAATTCTCTCCCGTTACTGCGCTGCAACCAATGATACACCAGTGATGAGTTTTGATCTCATCCAGGGCCAGCGCCTGCAGGAAGAACACAGTGAGAACATAAACATAAATTCATACAATAATTAACTCAACAATAATGATATTACTGTTGTGTAAAAATCTCACATCTCGTATGGCCTCTTTCGACAGGGCTCCTGGTAAGTCCTGTTTGTTTGCAAACACCAGCAGCGTTGCACCAGCTAACCTCTGCATGGAGAAAGAACACACTGGACTATAGAGATTGATATAATAATGACAGTTATTACACAGAATAAGAAGACTGTATTTTACTGTTATCCCTGGTGTGTGTGTGTACCTCCTCCAGCAGTAGTGAACTGAGCTCCTGCTTGCAGTCCTCCAGTCTGAGTCTGTCAGCGCTGTCCACCACCCACACCAGCCCGTCAGTGCTCTCAAAGTAGTTCCTCCAGTAGGAGCGCAGGGACTTCTGACCCCCAACATCCCAGATATTCAACTTAAAGCTACAAAACCCAGAAAGAGGATCACAAGGTGAACAGTGACAGTGAGAAACCTGTGTCTATAGAGTTTAGTTAAAGGTTTGATTTGGTTGGCTGTAGGGTATATTTGCCTTTATAACTGGGTTACTGTGTAAATCAGGTGATTCGGACTGTCGATGGGGCCTTTCCATTCAACTGTCCCAATGAGCCATGACACTGTAACAGTAAACTAGCATGCACAATACTGGGACCCTGAAACTGAAGCAGCTAAATGGAATTCAGCCCTCATTCACTATCAGACCTGTGCTTCTCCTACAGTGACAAGAATATGGCTGTATACATTCTGCCATTACCAGCAGGCTGTAGCACTGACTGCATCACATGACTTTATCATTTACAACATTAGACGCAGTGCATTCTGGGGCGGTTGAGTATGTCCTGTACTCACACTGCATGCTCAACAATTCTTGCTAATCTAATCTACATCAGGGGATTGCTCGCATACACACAATCCACATAGTGTGCAGCTGGAACCGCTATATACTCAATTTAATGTTAGACCTAATATAAATAATGTTAGTAATAATGTCCAAACACAGCCTTGTCTGAATGTTTTCAATGCAAATGGCCTACTCAAAAAAAAGTAGTATTTAGTTATTGTTATACCTCTACGCCACTACATCTGAGGCAAGTACTGTACTTTTTACTCAAATTATAATTTCTTGTGCCCTTCCTGTCCAGTGAAAACCACATATCTACAAATTTGGTACTTTTGAATTAAAACATTTATGTTAAGTGTTCCTTTAAAGGATAAGAACATTGTCCCTCATCTTAAAATAAACTATTGAACAGATCTTGAATTAGCCGTAAGATGCATTGTCACAAAGCTCATTAAAAGTTGACTTTGATTAAACTGCCCAACAGTATGAGTATTAGTTCAACCTTAAACATCCTCAGCAGTAAAATGCAACATAAACACTGTTATATTAATCCAAAAACCTCAAATATAAAAGTAAAACACAGACAGGAAACATTTTAATACCACATTTATAAAATAATTTAACAAACTTAAACTTAATAAAGCTTTTCAGTGCAGGACTTTTGCTTGTAGTGGAAAGCCAAAACATACTCTGTGTGTGTGTGTGTGTGTGTGTGTGTGTGTATGTGTATGTGTGTGTGTGTGTGTATGTGTATGTGTGTGTGTGTGTGTTACCCTTTGTGCTCCACTGTTTTGATGTTGAAGCCCAGTGTTGGGGAGATGGTGCTGACATCTTCTCCATTGAACTTCTTGAGGATGGTGGTCTTCCCCGCGTTGTCCAGTCCTCTGCAGCAGCAGTCGGGTTAAAGAAGAGATAACGAACCCACTTCACGAACAATGCTAAGTAGCCAGCAAGCAAGGTAACATGATACAGCACAACAACAGTGATCCTAAACCTTCCTCACCCCACCGGATATACACCAGCTGTCACGTTACTGACGCACATAAAGGGATAATAACGTTAACGTCGGTACACCGGTGCTACTTTAACTTACAGCTAAGCTAGTAAACACACAGGATACAACATCAGCAGTCTCATCTCCCGCTCCTTCTGCTTCATCTTCTTCAAAATTGTAAGCAAACCCATCGCCTGTGGTGTCCCGTTCAACCGCAGTTATAATAAAAAGGCTGCTTTTACTGGGTTATAGCTTTATAGGAGAGATGTTTAGCATCCATGAGCAGCATTGCGAACCAGGAAAAGACTGGAACACTAGCCCCGCCCCCCCCGCAGCCACCGATTGGACTGTTGGTTAAAAAAAAAAAAAAGGGCGGGTGTTGATTGGTTGTTGGAGACGTTCGAAGCTGGTTGATTGGTCGGTGAGCTTTTTAAGGTGTGGCCGTGATGTAGCGGCGCGTCTGTGCGTGGTCTGTGCGGGGTTGGCGCCCCCGTGCGTGGCCATTACATATTTGAGTTTGGTGTTGATATGACTGTCTCAGCTTGTTTCCAAAAATATGCCAAATAAAGACTGTTGTATTTCCAAAAATACTAATTTATTTGGAGGGTACAATAAAAATAAAAATTGTGAATTTCCCCTTGGGGATGAATAAAGTATCTATCTATCTATCTATCTATCTATCTATCTATCTATCTATCTATCTATCTATCTATCTATCTATCTATCTATCTATCTAATAGAGTTAGTTTGCCAACAGTAAAAACATCCTGCTGTCCCAAACTTTACCAAATTGCATTGAATAATATATTATCATTTGTATTACACAGTGTCACAGAATAGCGTTTAAACTATATAGAAATTAATCTAATACATTAGCATTACATATATAATTTAACATAAGGGTAAATAAATAAATAAATGTACCTTCATCAGTTTATTGGGGTGCTTTCAAATAAAACACATGTATTTTTTTGATAATTGGCAATTAATTATAGCAATTATTAAAATAATACATTTTAAGAATCTTTAAGAAGCGAGTTCTTCATATCCTCTGAGCTGTGAGATATATAAGCACTGATATCTGATATCTAATATCCTTACTATTAAGTTAACAAGCCCATCATTTTATAAAATGAGCCCAACAGTCAAATGAATGAATTCCTTCTCATATCAGGCAAATTAATAAAAACAAGCTTGGATACTGTAAAACCTTGAGGTTATGTATGTGCCTGCTTTAGAAGAGATTCAGCTGTACAAACAGTCAAAGAATAGCACCTTTCTACCTTAGGTTACATAATGTCCTGCTGAGAACCGGTAAAAGCTGCTGGCTGCAGTCTGGGGGGCTTGGTTATTCATTTCCTGGCAGAGACAATTTGCGAAATCCCCCGCACGTGAGGGAGGAGCAACATTTAGTCTTAAATTGGTCATTCAGCCCCGACTGGTTCCTGTCCCAGAACATCTCTTCCCATTCATTCACTGTGATGAGTTCATGGGCTGTCGAAAATATTAGGTTAAGTTAAAGACTTACTTGGCAATAAACCTGATTCTGATTCTGTAGTTTTATCATTCACAGTAAGTTGTATGTTAAAGGGAAAATGTAGTTTTATGGCACTTATTGAAAACCCGTTTAGTCAGTAATTACAGACAGTGAAACAGATTGAGGGTAAAACCTTCCCTAACATGTTGGATGTGCATTTGTTTTGTTCATTCTTTTCATTTTAATTCATTTTTGTCTCTCCTCTTAAACACAGCAGCCACTTGAAAACCCAAACACCAAAACACAGCTTCAATCGTGTTTTAAACCCAATTAGTTATACATATACCCAGTTGAAAATGAAACTACAGGTACTACACGTAAAGGCAGCACAGCTCCGGCACACTTACCCTGCAACGGGTCAGTTTAAAATAAAGAGAAACTGAAAGCAGTCGCAGCATCATGTTGCATCACTCCCTAATGCCAAACCTCCTGCGCAAAAAAGCTCTCACACAGCCCGCCTGAGAGTTTCACTCCCTGCCACACATTTACAGACTCAACTGGTCACCAAGCACACTTCAGTTTGCACCACGAACAGTACAGCACTGCCCGTGGAGGAGCCTGGACTCTTTTTCTGTCGTCCAGAGTCAATCAGAGTTCAACCGGAGGCTGCAGGCAGGAGCGCCAACTTCAGGGTTTGGATGGGAGAGGCTCTACCTGTGCGGATGATCCGAGCTGGGTGAAGGTTCATCCTGCTGGTGGACAGTCGGTCGGCCAGCCAAGACTGATGCGGAGGGAAGAGATGTCTCCGTTATTCATGGACACCGGGTACGAACCCAACAGCCCCGGCTCAGTATCAGCTGAGGAGAGCCACAGCAACACCGCTGGATCGGTAAGTTCTCCTGATCAATCAGTCAATCAGAATCCATCTAATCAAAATAGACTATAACATAGACACAATGATGGATAGAAGTGTTGGGTTACTGTAATGCCACGAGGAAAACTATACTAAAAGTATCATGTCACATGTAAATATTAATAAATATTAGAATAAAATGCTGTTATGGGACAATCACCCAATCTAACTATTATTTATTGTGTCTCTAAAATCAATCAAAACTGAGCGCCTCAGATACAGTCTAAGTCGCTATAATGGCACAATGAGTAACATTATATATAATGTATTATATATATTAAAGGGCTTTCCCATTAAAAATCTGTCAGCAGACACATACCACATACTGTCATTACAAAGCCTGCAGCTCAGCTCCAGCTGGGGACATTGACTGGATGCCATTCCCCCAAAGTGTGGTTTTCCATTAACTCTCAACTGTCCAGAGTGGAATAAAATAAAAAAAATGCCCCAAAATACTGGAATACATTTAATGAATCACCCAACAGTGGTGTGAAAAGACTGAAAAGACAAAAAAAAAAGTGCATTTTATTTCACAAACATTTCTTTCTACCTCATAATACATATTTAGCACAACTTATCATGGCTGTTAATTGTTACTTGGCTTCAGCCCACACTTTAATTCCCACTGCAAGCACAGACTGATGTACAGTATGTGCACTTCATTCCACTGCATCTAATGTCTTTAAAAGAAAACAAAAATCTCTAAAAACTCTGCCAATGGATACACTTTCAGTAGTTTAGCTGGGAGGAATGCACTTCTTGTCTGATGACATCTGGCAGACATTTAGATGAATATGATGTTATCTTGTTTTTAGTGCCAATGACCTGGGATAAATGTTTAATATAGACAAAATAATGAGTGCTTCCTGTCTCATTTGGGTCCATTTGATGAAGAGTCAAACACAGTGATGGGAGTAATTGTTAGATGCAGCCACATTGAAAGCCTCTCAGGGCATGATAGGAAATCAGTCAGGAACGCGACAATTTACCTTCACACCTGAACCTCACTTGTCAACTTGACTTTGCTCCTGATGATAACATCACGCGCTACAACAACTTCCTGCTTTATTAGAGACAGAGAACACTTGTAATTTCATGTGATAATTCGCTCACATGACATTGTGAACCACGAAACCTTTCAAAACATCACACAGAAATACATAAATGTCTGCCTTAAAAACGAGGCAGTAGGGGCTACCACAAGAGAAGTATTCACTTGACATGCACAGACTCAGTGTGTACTATTCTAATACTAAAAGCGTGTGTCTGTTGCACTAATCCTTACAGGAGAGAGAGGGAGAGGGACAACAGACGGGAAAGAGAGGGACAAAAAGACAAGAAAAGAACAGAGACGCTGCGAGGAAGACCCGGAGAAAACAAACAGAGAGAGCGGACGAACTTCATGAGGTTCAGAACATTCATTCCTTATCTTTGTTCTCCCCTGTGCTTCCCTCTGTTACTTTCTATCTCTCTTTCAAACACGCACACACACAGGCTGTGTGACTAGTGGTGTGTGTGTCTTGTGTAATCTGTCAGCATGCTCGTAGCCGTTTCTTGTAAATACTCAGCTTTAGAAGAAGGGCTTTCACTCCCTCTGCTTTGCCCTTCCCATTGGCCCTCCCTTTCCTCACTGTGCCCCCTCCTTCATATACACACACACACACACCCAACACACACACACAACACTCCTGCCTCTGTTTTATTATTTTCTTTTCCAAGGGGCAAATTCCACAGGTGGTGTAACACAGAGGTGCACACACACATTATGGGCTTTCTGAAGCACAGAGTAATTTTCCCAATTGGATTTAATGAAGCGAAAGGTGCCCTGCCTCAGAAACTTAATAATGTGTCTATTGAAAACTATTCAGGGATGTATTTCATGTGAAATCCCCCAAGAATTCCTCTGAGAAAGCAGGAGGTGATGCACTTCTTTTAAAGGAGACCTATCTGTGTGTGTTATGTTAATGTTACCATGTTGGCTGATTATATTAAGCATGACCAAAGTTTCAAATAATGAGGTAAGCGGAAGAAAAATTTTTTCCTGTGAATGCGTAGGCAATGTTTCCAACGTTTTTCCAGACTTTCGCAACAAGTACATTTTTTTGTATGGTCGTCTGCTCCAGGAACGCGCCCACAGAGTACAGTACCCATCCACTCGCCCAGTCCGTCTGTCTGTCAGTTATGCGACCGCTCTGCTCAGGTCTACTCCTCAGTATGACTCGCAGAAAGTGCTTTTTCGGTTGTGAAGGAATGTCTGATGTCCTCCAGATGCTCTGCCTCAATATTTAGCGATTTACAGTTTCCTGATAGACAGACAGCTGTACTAACTGGAGCTGCCGTTAGCTCAGTTAGCCGTGCAGTTAGCCATCCTGTTAGCTGCCCGGACTGGCAGCTCGGAGCACTGGCTCTCGGGTTCTTAACAAGTTGTATCTCATTGGTTTAATCCGCACAAAAGCTCGTAGAAACGACAAGTTGTTCTTTACACACAACCCCCTGTAGAATCAGAATCAGAATCAGAATCAGAAGTAGGTTTTTACACCTATGATGAATGTGACTTGGTGCATAAAAAATACAAATATACAAATCACACAAAAATCACACAGAAAAATAAAGTACTTTTAAAATATAAATAAATAAGCTAAGAAAGAAAGAAAAAAGCATGTTATTCAGTGAGGTTTACATGTGCTGGTTGGTGGATTTTGTTGCCATTTTAGCAACCTGTTTCCCTGTTTCCAGTCTTTATGCTAAGCTGAGTTAATCATCTCCTGGCTGTTGCTATATATTTAGCGTACAGCTATGAAACTGTTTCCGATCTTCTCATCCAACTCTTGGCAAGAAATAAGTGCATCGTCCCAAAAGAAAAAAAAGTTGAGATGGTCTTTGGCAACACAGAGCTCAGTGGTCAGCACTGGCAGATTACACAAGACAGAAAAGCAATTCTGAAAATGAAGAAGTGGAGAAATTCACTTGAAATGGGTGGTGTTCATTGATTATCGATTGCCATATTAAAATGTCCTTTCTAACAGGTTTCTGTGCAGCTAAACAACTCATTTGTTTGTCAGTGGTGCCAATAATAATGCATTTTCTTGTCTGAATGACTGAATATAATAAAGGCTAAAATCTGATATTCATAGATCTGTCATATGATTGATCACTGACAGAATACATCTCGATAGACACACGTAAAGTGTGATAAATTACTCTCATTATGATGATGGGAAAGAGTTGACTGTGCTGCACCTTCCTGCGGTTGAAGACGTTGCTCTTTGACGCCACTTACAGTTTGCCTTATTGTCCTCCTAAAAACCAGGTTTAACAAGTAGTTAAACCTGGTTGGACAAGTGTGTGTTTACTGGATTTATGAATGGGCGGGTGTTGTTTGTATGTTTCGTGTAGAAGGAGTCCAGACTTTCACTTTCTCTCTCTCTTTCTCTTTCTGTTCTGCTCTCTGTGTGTCCTTCATGTTCATTTTGAAGAAGCATTGGTGGAAGCTCCCCACACCACTTTGACTTACCAAAAATACAGAGCCGGTGTCAGCAGTTCACGGTGAAGTCAAGGGTCAGCACACGTGGCTCACAACTGTGTAGCACTGCTTCTTTGACTTTAACTCTGTGACCTTAAGAAGAATATAGTAGAAATGTGATCTTACTGAAGGAAAAAGCTATTCTTCTGAGTGTCATTCAAGTCTGGAATTGCAGTCACTGGTGAATACTAGCTGTTATGGAAGTGTTTGTCTTGGTTTTTTAAGGGTTTTTAGCCAAATTTAGATTCTTTATTTGTCACATTAAACTTACCTGATCTGCAGGAAACCCTCTCCTTTTGTGCTGAACTTGCAGGACTGCCACTAAAGAGCAATATTTCAGTTCTCCTTTGAGGTTCTGACGTGGTCGCACATTATCTGGTCTACTGGCTGCTGGGTGGGATGTGATTGGCTTTATTATTTTTCTTTTGATGTATGTCTTTAATCTGCTTTTATGGCTGATGAGTGCCACTCTCAGGGGTAATAAAGATATACCTGAAGTGAACTATTTGTCATTTATGATCCTCTTTTCCTTTTTTTAAATCTTCACTCTATTTTACTGCCCTCTTATCTTATCTCTGTTCTTCTCCTTAGGAGCTCCAGGGTCTGGAGCGATCAAATTCAGCCCTTCACAAGGAGATTGCCTCATTGCAAAAAGACCTCCAACTCTACACAGCAGCTCTGGAGCGCCACAAGCCTTTCTGCTGCCTCAAAGACTCTGCATCCAGCTCCAGCTCAACAACCTGCCTCTCGGGTTCCCCCTCAGCTGGCTGTCAGACCCCCTCCAGCCCTCCTCGAGTACCTCCTCAGGCCTCAAGCTCCTCTCATGCTGCTGCCCCTTCACTCTCTACCTCCCTAACCTCCAGCCTGGGTCCTCAAACCCTTGACTGTGTGGGAGGCACTTGTCTTTCCTCTTCAACTCCTGCTCCAACAACTACAACATTAGCCTCAGCTGCCGGCTTGTCTTCAGAACTCTTCAAGTCCTCCGGGTCTGTAGTCGTTCCTTATTCTGTCTCTTTTTCTACAGTCGCGGCTCCTCACTCTTTGTTTAGTGATGATCCTCCTACTCAAATCACATCAAGGGAGACAAATGTTGCGCCTGTTTGCACCAGCCTCATTTCCAGCACTGTACCCTCCAGCTCTCTCACCGTAGCTGGTCAGCCTCAATCGAGTCAAGGCGCCATCCATGAACGTTCTTCAATGCCAGCAAACGCTTGTTTCTCTACTCTTCACCTTGATGCACTGGATGCCTTTCTTACAGGTTCACCTAATGTAGCGTCCCCTTGCTCCCATTTAGTGGCAGAGAACGCAGGTCTAGTGGCGCAAAGTTGTCCCATGAATGTGCCCCAGCTACACCGAGGTCACTTCAGGGGAAGTCCAATCAATTCAAGTCAGCTGCCCTCTCTTTTACTGCCAGCGCATCAAGATCCTGCTCCTCAGGCCTTCTCAGTGTCCCCACAGGCAAACTTAGCGGCGTCTCCAGCCTCTGCTTTTGCCTTAAAGCCAAGTTATAGTCAACATGTTGCGCCCAATCCTGCGTCTCTGCTTTCCCTGCTCACCGTCCCAAGTCCCCTTAGCATGTCTCAGACTACCTCCAGCAACTTTGATGGACCTCCTTCTCAACCCCTGCCCTCACTGCCACCATTGGGGGATCCCTTAAGAGATCTCTCCCTTTCAGAACTCCTAGACGTCAATGATTGGATACTACAATGAGTGGGACTAGTAACCAGTAGCACTACATGCCACATTGTAAAGAAAGACCTGTTAAATTGTGTCAAAATGGACATATATTATATGTATATTTATATATGTGTACATTTTCAGTGTTGTTCCAAATGGCAGCCGAGGCTTCTTACGATTGAGATCTTCTGAAAGAACTGCAACACAACTTATTAAAAGTGAAAATACAATGCTAAGGGACATCCGTCTTGACATCAGAACATGATTGAATGAATCCAAACACATGTCTGGGCTGTTGCTCATATTCAGCTTTCAGTGTAGTACATTTAAAACGGCCTAGCTGAGGTTTTTTACTCCTTGACTACAGCTGCTAAAATCTCTAAATTAGCTGGGTAACAGGCCAAAACTCAATAAATATAATACTACTGCAATAAATGAGCTACTTATAGATGAAATGTGAACCAACTATGCAATGAAATCCAGCAGCATAGTTTTTCTTCTTTTGCACCAGAGACACTGAGAAACTGACTTTTGAAACATTGACGTGTAATTTTAGATAGGGTGGAGTGCTCACTTCCTTGCAACTTCAACGAAATGTCATTAGGAGAAATTTCCATCTGTGCCTCATCTGAGCCACAGTGTGAACTTATGAATCGTCAGACAGCCCTGGCCTTGCTGCCGGAAAATGTTTTTCAACCCCTTTTCTTTTTAACTAGTTTAAAATCAGACACACACACGTCTCACATATTTTGCTGCTACTGATCATTTATTTATGTATTGCAATATTTGACACCAGCAAAAGTCAGTTGATCTGATGTTTTTTTTTAAGCTACAACTTTCCTTTCATTTCCTATGATAAAACTATCTCTTTTCTTTCCCTTCAAATAATAGAACTGCATTATTTCTACTTACTGTAATTATGCTCCTACATGATCCATTGTTAATTTTTTATCTTTTAGGCTTTGCTTGCGGGGAAAAAATGCTCCAATGTCTCCAAAGAGACTAAATGAATGTCTCTTGGGTTTATTTGATTCACTGCAAACAGTAAATAGATTGGACAACTGTATTATTTATCTGTCTTATGTACCTGTATCAAGGTGCACATTCCCAAATAAAAGTGTGCTTAACTGAACAAACACAGAGGGCCAATAGAGGCTCACAGCCCCCTAGTGGTTAAATCCAACCATGGCTGCATGGACAATTTATGTGCCAACTCGAGACCCATATTGGCAGTTACTGCGTGATCAAATCCAGCCAGATGTATGCATGAGATCATGTGGTTTTGGATTACCTTGGGATAATGTTTTACAGGCAGAGCTGTTTTAACAGGCAGTAACACTGACGGCTGGCCCGCATTGATCTGTGAGGGAGGGAAACAGTAAGCAGCAGGAGGAGGTGATGAGGTTGTCAGGCACCGATTCATTAGGGATGATGATAGTGACGGGGTCATCAAACACCCGTGTGGGGCTAAACCTATGATAAAAATGTTTGTATAATTAATAATTCTCTTACTGTGCTCATTTGTAGTGAGTCAAATGAGAGAAATCCCTGTAGCTGACAGTAAGTCGGGGCTGCTCAAACCTGTTGTTACTGTTACTGGTACTGCTGTAAGGAAATGAAAAGTGGACAGTAATTAGTTGGGAGATGTAGTTGAGTTTCTGCACATTGATTGTATTAATTTGACGATTTTGGTTTTTCAAATGATTATTTACATAGATTGCTGTGCTTTATACACACTATGTTTGTAGATATATAGAAAATATATGAGGGTTTACACCATATAGAGGTTTCTGATGTAGTGTGAGTTATGACCATGTTGTATTTATCATGCAGTAGATTAATATATTTATGCTATAATGCTAGTTGAAAAAGAAAACCTAATTATAAATAAATAAAAATATTATAACATGTTTATTTCACTTTTGTTCACTTTACAATTATCTTCTATCTGTAATATAATAATTTAATATAATATATAGTTACAAGTTGAATTTGTTGGCAATAAAACACACCTTGGATCAGTTCAGTACACTCAGATGTTTTGGTGCTATAAAGCCTTATTTGGTCTAGTATGACAAGTAGCTTCTGGTGGCTAATGTTAGCAAACTTTAGATAGATGTTGCTGTATTATTGACATTACTGACTGCAGACTTTCTGAATCTTCTCCACTTATTCAACTGTTAAACTACATTTTAGAGTTTTAACATTAATGTTATGCAGCCACAAGTGACATCACTGAAAAAGTTTTGATTTAATAGAAAATACACTGCTGTTAATGGGACATCAGTATTGCAGACGGCCGATCCACCACTATATTATTAAAAATTAAGCCAAAATATCACGGATACGGCTGCCGCCATCTTGCTCTGGTGACACCATTTGGAGCCAGAGTCAGCGCTGTAGTGCTCGGGGTTGCAGCAGAGGTATGGGCAGGACTGAGCTGTTAAATAATTCATTAAAACCAAACTTGAGCATACATCAGTGTGTTAAGAAGTACTTTGAATGACAGAAACCATGTTTGTGAAATACAAATTTGATGTTAACTTTGATTTTTTTTGCTTGGCCCACTAACACAGAGGAGGTGGGGTTAATGACCTACACTGGAGCCAGCCAGCAGGGGGCGATCCATATGTTTTGGCTTTACTTTTGGGGAGCTGTCATATCGTCCATCTTTATATACAGCCAGTGGTCCACACTGAAGTTCTGTTGAGTGGATTGAACTTGTGTACACACATTCACTGTCTCCAGAGGATGAATCCTGCTGACTTTTCTTTTAGGTTGGTATGAGTTTTATTGTGAAACGTCTGATCAACTGCCATGAAATTATCAGGAAGATGTTGAATAACTTTTTCCGTGGCGTTTCCTCTTATGCCATCATCTGATGACATCTTTCCCCACAGTGCCTTCTACAGCCTCACAGAGCTGTGAGCACGACTGGAGACAGATTATACAGCCTACTGTTAGAATTTAGGCAAATGTTACCAGATTGAATATATATTTGAGAGGATGTTTTGATGGATTAGCCCACAGCCATTGAGTGCTGTTTACCTCAGTGCTCTTCTAACTGGTCATTGTCTTTAACCGACCAGTATTAACAGCCTCCGGTGATAACAAACAAGGAGCAGACCAGCAGCGCTCTCAGCCACTTACCGGACTGCCGGTCCCCCCGGTGTTTTTCCCAGAAGGCAACCGGCTGAGCTCATCTGCGACATAACACTGAAGAAGGGGGAGGAGGAGAGGAAAGGGGCGCAGGCGCGTGGTATTACGCACGCCCTTGTACTGGATATGAGATTATAAGGCTGGAGTGTGTTAATGGTCAGAGGAGCAGTACGGAGGCTTCAAGGCTGGCACACCAGCAACACACACACACACACACACACACACATCCACCGCCAGCCAAGGTGTGACTTTGACAGGGAGATGAAAGCGCGTGGATAATTGCGCTTTTGTGTGCGCGAGCGTGTGTGCGCGCGCGATAGACTGAGTCAGAGAGACAAAGTGGCTTAGTGAGGAGAAGAACAATGGATGGGACTTGATCCTCAAAGCCCACTACAACACCGCGCACAAACAACACACACACACACACACACACACACACACACACACGCGCGCGTGCGCTCACCTCAAATAGGAAGCGAGGAAAAATGGGGAGAGGGAGGGGGGAGGAGTGGGGGGAGTCAGACAGAAGCACCGATGAGCGTCAAAGCGGCGCGCTGCTGGAGGACATAGGAGCGAATATTTCATGGCCGCGTGGAACCGCAGCCAGAGGTTCGCCAGAGGTGGTGCAGTGAGAGCCGAGGAGCGCGAGCCACTCATGACGCATCTGTTTAAAATGAACCGGGTTTAAGAGGCAAAGCGGTGCCACATAAATAAAAGCAAATAAATAAATAAATCCATCCTATAGCGTCATCCGCAGTGAGGAGCCTCGTTCCTCTCTCTCCTTGCACCACCTTTAGGCTGAGGAACCAGCGGCAAGGCAGACACAGTGACATGAGTTAGCATCCGGTCACAGCTTTCACAATAAAACTCTTATTATTGCGCCTGACTTGTGGCAAGTAAGAAAGGCACTCACTAAACCTTTACTCCTTTGTTTAGCTCTCTCTCTCTCTCTCTTTTACAGAGAATATGATTCCTATGGGAGATCCAGGTTTGTTATTTTATCACTCCAGCAGGTTAACGTTAATGTTAGCAGGAGATAATCTTAGATCTTTGGCATGGGCGCTGGAAGTAGGGTTGCTGAGGGTGCTGCAGTACCCCCTAAATAAGGCATAATGAAAACCATTAGTTCATAAAATTGTTTAAACCTATAATGACTATCTCAGGTTTCTGGAGGTATACGTACACACTGGTATGTATGGCAGGAAAGTGGTTTTACTTTGTTTTCCTTCCGTTTTATTCTCTAAAAAGTTAAGTTTTGTGTGTAAAAGTTACAATTTGTGTAAAATATTAATAACTATTAAATATGCTATACATTATATTATATATTAATTAAGATCTCCTGCAACAAACCTTTCCCTGTTAGGAACTAAACTAAGTAGACTTAACTGTCCCTTTAAATAAAAGCCATTTGGTTCAGGTGTTATGTTGATGAATGGTTAAATGCTGTTAGATGCAGAAACTGCCTTGAGGTTGTGTAGAAATGAACCACTGGACAATTAAAATAAATAATTTTCATTCCACAGAAATCGTTCATGGCCCGAAGTGCTTCAGTTTGAATTCTAGAGATCAGTGTTGATACAGCTAGTGTTTCAGGTGGGAGACTGTCCACCTCCTTTCTTTGATGTTGACGTGCAAGCCAGCACCTCGCTTTAAAAGATGTGTGTTTTCATTCAGCTCTTAAGAAATCTTGTTATGTCAGTAAGCCTCATACTGCAGGCCAAAGTTTACCAATCTAAGCATACTGAGATACTTTAAGCTTATACCCAAAAAAGCCTAGAGGAATGAGAGAGAAAATTCCTGGACAGAGTGCTTAGGTACTGTTTTTTGCCTACATTTAGTCCCTTTCTAATTCACATTCACTGTTAGTGGAAGAATGTTCACAACACTTGAGTTATAGTTTTACAAGTAGCAGGAATATCTATTGATCCAGGCTTATAGGTAAATGTTTGACATTGCCTGTTGTATTTGTTTCCAAGCTGCAGATTGCCGCTGACTGAACACCACTCGTGACTGTATTTCACGCCCTAGGAATAAGAACAGGCTGTGAAATGTGTAGGAGAAACTACGGTGGATGCGGATGGTTTGTCCATTCTTGGCTACTGTAGAAACATGGTGGTCAAACATGGCGGCCGCCATGGAAGGCGACCTGCAGAGTCTGTAGATTAAAACGATTATTATATTCAAATGGTTATACAGTAATGGAAACATGAATAAGAATATTCTATTCACTTCACTTCTTCCCCGGAGTTCTTGTGCTTTCTCGTCTCGCAGGTTCATGTCGATCCTGGTGGAGCCTCCTGCCATGGTCCTGCTAGATTGCCATTGCCAATACTGTTGTTGCTGTGCACCTGTCTGTCTGTCTGTCTGTCTCTCTCTCTCTCTGTCTCTCTCTCTCTCTCTCACCCCAACTGGTCGAGACAGACAATCACCCACCTAGAGCCGAAGGATCTGTCCTAGGTTTCTGCCTTTTAACAGGCAGTTTTTCCTTGCCCTTGTCGCCAAGTGCTTGCTCATGGTGGTACTGTTGGGTCTCTGTAAATAATGTTATAAAGAGTTCGGTTTAGACCTGCTCTATTTGAAAAGTGTCCTGAGATAACTTCTGTTATGAATTGGCGCAATACAAATAAAATTGAATTGAATTGAACTTTCTCCTCAATGTCACACACTGGACCTTTAATCCGACCATGAGTCATGTCTACAAACCCAAAACACACTTTTATTTTCTCTACCTCTCGTTTTATTTTGAAAGCCAGGACGCTCCACTTCCTGTCTGTTCCTGACTCACCGCGTGCTTCTTGACGCAGCTCGCTGAGGCGCTGTAGGACGACCGGATAACGGGATCCGAGAAGGGGGACAAGAGCAAAACGCGTCAGTCTGACAGACACAGACTGGGTGCTATTGTATAACACAGGCCTTCAGTCCTTTAACTGCGGGCTGCTGCTGCTGCTGCTGCCCGGAACAGCGGCTTGTTTTCAGTCATTATTCAGCCTTCTCCTTCCTCTCTCAGCGCGGAGGCAGAGCCGGAGCGGAGCAGCGGGGCTCGGTGTTGCATCGGCCGCTGGCGGAGGACCTGCACATGTCGGCGCGGTGAGGGAGCGTTTGTTTCCCCGCCCTGATAACGGCTCGGAGGACGGCAGGAGGAGGACGGTGCGCGGAGGGGGACATCAACCGCGGCGAGAACAACATTACCCACCTCTGAGAGATAATATCAGAATAAGCAGGTGCGGCCGGTCGGAAGAGGATCCGTTAAAAAAAAAAAAAAAAAAAAACCGAGTGAGAAGGACAACAGTGATGCGGCAGCCGAGGTGGGCCCAGATTGATGATTTTATGATATCATCATCCACCGCCAGGACCGATCACTGATTTTATTGATAAGGAGCATCATCGAGGAGAATAAGCTATAAACTGACCTGGGGTCCGTTTGTTTGTTTTTTGTTTTTGTTTTTTGGGATCTGGATAAACTGGAGGAGGTGAATCGGCGGCTGATTGCGGTGATTTCTCTCCATAAGTGATCAGTTAGAGAAACACATATCCACATTTAGGCCCATGACTTAGTGTGTGAGTGTGTGACGCCAATACAGCAGCAGAGAGGTGTGTGTGTGTGTGTGTGTGTGTGTGTGAGAGAGAGAGAGAGGGAGAGAGAGGAGACGCGCCTGTCTGAGCATCATCTGGTAGCTGTGCAGGCTACTCCTCCACGGGGATGATACACAAGCGATTTTTGGTCTGTGCGTGAAAAACAGAAGAATCAGGGATGCTGCCGATGCTGCTGCTGCTGCCATTCCCAGCCCGGCTCTGATAGAGACAGCCAGGCGCACAGCTCGGGACTGGACATCCAGAAAATATCTCTCCTCACCTCTCCTCCGCCTCTGCACCTTCTCTCCCACCCCCCTCCCCTTTATCTCTCACCCCTCTCCTCCTCCTCCTCCTCCTCCTCCTTCCTCCTCCACCACCACCCCGGAGCGTCTATTCATTCTGATCAATTGATAACCCATCTGTGATTCAGAAAGCCACCCACTCCTCCATCCTCTCCTCCATTCACCCGTACATCCTCTTAAGGCACCTCTTTACGCACTCACACGCGCAAAGGCACGCACACGCACGCACCACCGCCGTTGCCGCCGCCATCTACAGCCATCATGGAGACGACCAAGCTGCCTCCGTCCAGCCCGTCCTCGCCGACCACCAGCTTCTCGGTGCCGTCCGCGGAGAAGGTGGACGGCTTCCCGCGCCGGTCGATGCGCAGAGCCCGGCAGAGGAGGTCCCACAGCTCGTCCCAGTTCCGCTACCAGAGCTCCCAGGTGGAGCTCACCCCACTGCCCCTGCTCAAAGGTGAGACACTGCTTTGGGTCAATGTCAGGATGTATGGTAGTGGTAGGCCGACCACAGGGGATGGAAAAGGTCACCATAAACTTTATAAACAATAAAACAGCACTAAATCAAAGTGAATGCCATTTCCTGACTTTACATAAGACACCCATTGATCAGCACTCTGGAGAAGGTCTATTGATGTATTGTATTTTCTGTTGAGAGGCGTCCACTGATACATGCTATCCTCTCTGTACTCTGACTGACAGAGGTGATAGCAATGGCTTTGATTTATTGTCTGATAGGAGCCAGTCTGCTTTGGCCTGATGCAATATTTTGTTTTAGGGCTGCGACCAATGATTATTTTCATCATTTATTAATGATTTTGACAATTATATAACAGCAAAAGAAACATTAAAAAATATGTTTCTTCCTGTTTCCCAGAGGAGTCCAAAGTGACGTCTTCATCTGTCCAACCAACAGCTTGAAACCCAAAGAAATTCACCCAATCCTCACACTGGAGATCAGACAATGTTTGGAGGTTTCATGTACATTGTCTGTCACTTGACTAATAGAATAACTGAATCACTTCAGGACTATTGCACCTTCTTTTAGGTGATACTGAGATTCGGTTATTGCTGAAGCAGATGAGGATCAAAGGGAGTATAACTAGAAGATGATACTGTAGGAGGGATAATGGATGAGTAACAAATGACACATTTTCCTTCCAATTATCCTCATTTTTAGCAACAATCATCGACTCTACTACTGTACGTTGACTCCAGTTGCCTACACGTTTCAAAGTGCAGGTTCCACAATAGCCTTAAGCCCGTGTGTAATCTAGGTGATTATGAAAGTTAGTGTGTTTTTAAGAAGCTTTAAACTGTGGATAAGACTGAGTTTGTCCAAACATCCAAGTTCACATTCACATCTGCAGAGTCAGAGCTTGATGTTGACCACTTACACACTCATTAAAGCACAGCACCATCAAACATCTGCTTGCCTCCTTGATTGGTTGATGGGGAAATGGGAGACGCGTGTCTCCATTATGAGTCTTTTCCCCTTGACGGACCACTGTTCATAATAACAACTGCTTCTCAATTGCCTCATTAGATAAACCTCAAACACAAATACATAAAATGCAAAACATACTTGTACAAATCGTGGCTTTGTGAAGATATTGACATTCAGACTGCCATGACATCCCTTGTAAAGGCAGTCTGAGCTGAACTATTTGCAGATCTGTTGTTGCCACAGCTCCAACCCGGAGCTGCTGGTGCTACACTGAGGACACTTTGATCTATGTGCGTTTGTTCATTCTCTGAGAATGCGAGTTGCAAAGACATGAAACCCACTGGTTTTCATTTTTGGTATAGTGCTGTCTATATGTCCTGTAGACCGAGCAGCTCAGTCTGATCTGGGTGAGGTTAGGTGTGATACAGTTAGAAAAATGTTCCTGCCTCTTAAATGTGAGGATTTGTTTGGTTTTCTCTCTTGAATGTCGCTGTAAATTGAATATCTTTGGGTTTGGGATGGTTGGTTGACAACACAAGACATTTTAAGATGCCAAAAAAGAATAAACATATCATGAGAAGATGGTCTATTCCATATCATACTTTAAAGCAGGGGTTCTCAAACTGTGGGGCGGCCCCACTGGTTGGGGATAAAGCCACTGCAGGGGAGGTGTGGATGCCCGGGAGAAAATATATAATCAAACCAAAAGTGAAATGCAGTTTGCAGATGATTATTTCAATAAAATACAACTTGGATACTTTTTTTTATTAGTTGCATCCCCTGTCATTGTTATTGTGGCGTACTGGAGTGTGACCTTTGTTTTGGCTTCTTAAAGGGGCCAGAAAAGGTTCAAAGCCACATTATGTAATGTTTGAATGAAGAAATTAAACGTTGTTCCTCTTACAAACGTAAAGTCGGTCTGGTATGACCAGCAGCTTTTTGTGGCTTATATTAGCAACCTTTAACTTGGTGTTGTTGGGTCAGTTCACTGATATTATGGCTCTTCTATACATGCGCTACTGTTGTGCTCTAAGCCCTAAAAGATATTTTCTTGTTAGACTTTGTGTTTAGGCAGCAAGGAAGCGTCAGAGATGTCCAAGTCAATATTTTTGTATCTTTTCTTGTGGTTGACACAGTAAACAAGACCTATCCCTTCATGTTCCTTCATCTGTTTTTATATTTGCTTTCTCAAGAGCTGTTCTATCTCTAACCATTCATCTACGCCTCTTCCTCACCTTGCGTGTCTTCCTTCTCTTTCTTTCTAACCCGTGTGTGCAGCTCAAGGGCACATTGTAAGTCCTCATATATGCCTCTGACCCCTCTTTATAAGGTTAGTCCCTGTTTCATGTAGCCTGCAATCTCTTCCCATTAACCCCCTATGAAGAGAAGACCTTTCTGCTTTTAGACATGGTAGGAGGTGCGTGCGTCTGTGTGCGCTTACATGTTTCTACGCCTCATCTCCCCAGCTTCGACTTTCTCTCGGGCACCTGAGTGAGGGTTTTCATTACATCTTTACAGCACCTTTGGTTCAAACTTCTGTGTGCATACGAGCTGTAGCCTTCATGGCCTGAAGTCCCAGTTATCACATGGTCTGCTGCACCGCTGCGGCACTGTTTCTGGATCCCCTGGAGGAACTGATAGTAAGATCTTGCAGCACCGGTGCAGGAGAAAAGCCTGGTGTGGGGAAGTCTGTAACGGGCAGTATGTAGGCCAAGTGTAGACAGACTTGTGGGTGTTGTGCCCTCCAGAGAATCACATTCCCATTGTTAATTTGAACTCCTCCTCCTGTTAACAACAGCACATCTCTCTCGCCAGAGCAAAGCTTCATTCCTGCTCACAGTTTCAGGCTTTATATGAGACATAATAGACACAGAAGTCCATGGAATATAACAATGACAAAGAAGTGACAAAAGAAAAAGCTGGAGCGCAGCATCAAAGGTAAAATCCACCCTGAAACACTTGAACACAGCTTCTAGTGATCAATATCGATGTCCTTTAGATGACTAGCAGAGAAAAACCAAAACATTTTCAGCACAGCTACAATGGTTTGACAGCAGGGAATGCTTAAAACTAACAATAGTGAACATCGAGTGTTAGATATTAGTCTCCGAAAGAGCAAGAGCCTCAATATTTTGGACCAATTTCAGTCAAACAGTCAAAACAGGAAGAAATGCATCACAGAAGAGGCAGACTGACTGATTCCTAGCCTCAATCGACCAGAATGCAATGGACCCACAGCTTGCATCTTTACAGAGAAACCAGGTTTTTTCCCGCTCTCTGGACTTGAGAAACTTACTGTGGAAAATATAGAAAGTTGCTAAATGTAGCAGAAGCATAAAGCAGCTTTTTGGAAATTGGGATAAACAAAAAATTTTGGAAGGCAACATCATACATCTAACAGTGCAGGTGTTTTTTCCTTGGATGTCACAGTTTTGTGCATAAAGCATGTATTATGTATGTGGTATGGTGAGATGTCAGTGTAGTTAATCTAGCTGTTTCCCAATCTTATTTCCCCATCGACAGTGGCCTCAATTGATCAGGATGCAATGAAGTCATAGCTTGCATCTTTGCAGCTCTGTCATCAGTAGTGTGTGGAATATATCAGCCTTTAAAAATAACTTTTTTTGTAATTAGAACAATGAGACATTCTTGTATGAGCGCTGGAGGCAGGTTTAAAAAAGTTTAGAGGAACAAAAACAAGTCAGTTCATTGCCTTATTTATGAAAAACTCCAGACAGACAGCCATCATCGTCTACCTTACTGGTATGTCACTGAACCAGGCACTGACACTCCTGATGTTCTCTACCTGACCCTGACCTCTGAACCCCAGACGAGTTTCTCTAAAGGGGTTTAGCATCACAAAATAATAACACAAGTTTTACTAATGTCTCTCTGCACACAGTTCAAGGTCTTATGCACTGAAGTGAGACACACCAGCATATTCTTCAGTCAACATGGATAAGTAGTTCTTAAGGTGAGATAGCTACACTATCCTCGTGATGCTCCAGTAAACAGTGAACTGATCTGGAACACTAAACCGACCAATAAAAGAGCGGCAGGGAGGGTCAAGGCAGCCAGTGAATACACAGATGAAGGGTGAAGGAAACAGGGTCCCTATAATCCCTTTTTACAGTGTATTCATGTTTGGCCACATTCCTGCAGCAAACACATGCACGTGCACATGCATTGGGCATGCAGTGGTTGTGCTGTACTGCAGTGGACGGTTTATGTCTATAGCAACAGATATACTTGTTTCAGACACAGAATTCATGGTGAGTTTTTTTCTTCAAAGTTTATTACATGAAAACACAGCAGCCTTCTGAAGCCTCTTTGGATGCCGAAAACTCTATAAACCACCAGCCCTACATCGCCTTCCAGTAGGCATTTGTGTTGTTTATTGAACTGCAAACTATCTTGTAAAAAACAGAGATTGATCACTGCCTTTACCGCTAATAGCACTAGCTCCATTTCAAGTGCTTTCTCCTTTTTCACTGTTTAAATGTTCCGGTTAAAAATGGAGCTTTAATGTAAGTACTGCAGACATTTTCCAGACAGGGCCCCAAATGAGGTGATGATTAAGTCACACCGAGGCACCAGGGCTCGATCAGCTTAGCGTTTCTCTGGGACCCAGGCAAATTAAAACCTTTAATATCTTGTATGACACAGTTACAGAGCCACCAGATGGGTATCAAAAATGTTTACAGATACAGTGAAAGCATTCCCTTTCTTTTCAGTCTCTACACTTCAATCATCACGTTAAATAATAAAATACTTGAGGATGGTATCCAGTAAAAGATTGTACTGGGAGTTAATGGTTCTGGAAACTAGCCCAGTAGAGCTAACTCGTTGCTCCTTACTGTTTCCATTTGTTCAGAATCAGACTGCAAGTAAACAAATCTATCTATCTATCTATCTATCTATCTATCTATCTATCTATCTATCTATCTATCTATCTATCTATCTATCTATCTATCTATCTATCTATCTATCTATCTATCTATCTATCTATC